GGATTTGATTCCTGAGTCAAGAAGATCCCCTGGAGGAGGAAATAGCAACCCACTTCAGCACTCTTGCCTGGGAAATCCTATGGACAGAGTAGCCTGGCAGGCTACATACAGTCCATGGAGTCACAAAAGAGTCAGACACGACTTAGTGACTAAACAACAGCACTCTTTTAAAGGATATATTTTCTTATGGGAACTGGAAAATAATAAACAGCACTTTAAAAACACTAAGCTGTGTAAGAAACTGCAGTGGAACCAACATGCTTTCTTAATCCATTAGTCTGCAGAAATGAGAAGTGAATCATATTTCAAAAGGTTTAGATATGCTCACTTTATTCTTCTGGAATTATAATTTTATTACAATCAGATTTATTGAAATTTATCTGATTTTACAGTCTTCTTAAAATATCTGCAAATAATAAAATTCACCTGCATATTTGGCGTAATAATACGCTTCTTTTAGATTTTAACAGAACCTAGTCCAAGCGTTAATTGAATCAATCTGTTCAAAAGTAAATCTACTGGGCACTTCTTTGAACACATCATACACACCGTAATATTTGTCTGGCAAAGGTCTGTTTTTCTTTATTTTTAAAATCAGATCATGTATAGAAGTTATTTACTACAAATTAAAAAAAAAAAATCCCTTCTCCCCGCTTCCTCCTCCCCCCTCACACTTTCTTAAAGGAAAGCGAAAACCTAATTCACTCAAGGCAAAAGGCAAAAGCCAAAAATTAAAAAACAAAACAAAACAAAACAAAACAAAATCTAGTGGGCGCAAAGGGCCTATTACCGCCGAGTAATACGGTAACAGCAGGAGATTACGGTACTAGCCGGGGCTACTGACTGTGTTACGTCAGCGAGAGCCGCAAAGTTCCTTGCCAGTCTTTGCTGATGTAGGGGAGCTGAATATTAAAAGGGTGAAGGTGGAGTTATTGCTTGACTGCATTTTCCCCCCCTTTTTTCTGTTTTCTTTATTGTTAAAATCTCCAGGTAAAGCGTCTGTGAGCCAGGACCTTAAAGACGTCTCTGGCAGAGGGGTGAGTCAGCGGGTGCAAAACGACCGGGAACTGTTTGGTGGGAGAGACGGTCCCCTCTCCCCGCAGGGAGGAGGCGGCGGAGTTGCTCCGGGGACCGCGGGCCGCCCCACTTCTCGCCGCGCGCGCGCCAGTGGCTCTGCATCCGCGCTCCAGGTGAGTGCGCTGCGGGGCCGGGCGGGTGAGGGCAAACCTCCCGGGGCCTCCAGGCTAGACCCTACTCGCACTTTCCCCAAGCTCCTGCTCCTTCTTTCACCCGCCTTCCCCACCCCACCGCGTTTCCCTCCTGTATTCTGGGAACTTATCTCCTAGTTAACAAGTGTGTTTTTAACAGCGTATTTATCGCTCCGCGGTAAGGGGGAACGGATTTCTGCAGTTGCTTGCGTTCTGTTATCACCTGTGAGCTCTAGAACTTGGGATTTTCACAGAAGCCTTTGCTGAGGGAATCCCGCCTCCGGGCCCATCCGCAAGGTGGGTCCCCACTCCCCCGCATTCCCACCGGAGTCCCTGTGGTCCGCTCGCAGCTATGGAAATCTAGCTTTCTTACGCAGACGGTGGCCCCCGGCTCGGAAAATAAATACGAGGCATGCCCTGGCCGCCGGCTCGCGGACTTGATTTTTACGCCTACAAAATCCGCAGTGACTGCCGCCGGCAAAGCCCCTTAGGCTGAGCGGTGCTCCCTGCTCCCACTCCTCCCCGGAACCCCCAGGGCCCTCCTGGGCGTGGCTAGAGGCTCGAGTCCTCCGGGACCTCTGATCCTGTGGCTCGGAAAGGACTCTCGGACCTGAGAGTCGGGTTCAGCCCTCGTTGCGTCCCCAGAGCTCTACTCTGGACCCGGCTTTCAGGCCGGCTTGGCTGGTCGACACACCGGCGCGCTCCGCACACTCAAGTGTGAATTCCTCTGGCGTGAGCGTGCCCGTGGCACTGCCTCTGCGGTCGCAGGGTCTCGGCGGCTCCCTCTCCCAGGCCGCCCCCTCCAGGTGACTGCGAAGCAACCTGTGCAAGTGGCCACCGGGTAGATTCTCCGGGTTTCCACCAGCTTGGCTCGGTGCGGCAGACCCTTCAGCCTCAAATCGCACCACTCGGGCTAGATTTTAATTTCAGGCTAGATTTAAATTAATTTAATTTCATAGCTTAATTTCACGCCGGCCGTGCTGGAGCTTGGGGTGTGTTTGCCTCGGTCCTTGAACACCGCCAGAGGCCGCGAGGAGGAGCGCGCCAGGGCAGGTGCCCAGCGGCGGGTCACGGCTCGCGGTCCCCTCCCGCGCACTGGACTGCGGCGGGACGTGTAGCTCCGGGATCTCAGAGTCGGCGGGGCCCCCGGCCCGGTCAGACCCCGCGTCTAGCACGGCCTCGCTTCCCGGGACGGCTGGCTTACACTCTGCATTTCTTTGCGCTCTTTCAGGACAACGCTGGCAAACTACGCTCCGCAGCCATCTCGCTCTTGGTGAACATTTCACATCCGCGTTTCCCCTCGGCCTGCGCGATCTATCATGAATCGAGCCACACCGAGTGTAACTGCGGGTGGGGAGAAGCTCCCAGATGCCAACGGTCCCCGCCTTTGAGAGTCGACGGCAGACCAGTACTTGCTTGTGGTTTGTGGGGGGAGACTGGAGTTTTGAATTCCAATTATGTGCAGAATGCTCAAGCTTCTCACCCGGACGGAGCGGACAGTGCAGGACAGGGGACTCCCATAATTCTGGGATCGCATTTTGCACCGCGTCTTCCCGAGTTCTGTGATAGGGAGGGAGCCGGGGCCCCGGGCCAGCCCTGCGGGTGGAGAGGATCGGCTGGCTGCTCCGCGCGCCCCTGGCCATGTCGCCTGTAAAGCCCTACCCCTTTGCGTGGCCTACTGAGGGTTTCCCGGGCTGGCCGGGGTTGCTTCCTCGCTGCACGTTCTCTCTTACCCCCAGACAACCCCAGCAGACGAGGCTCTTGGGAGCCGAGAGCTTTTGACTCCCCGCTCCCTCGCTCCCGTCTTCCGCTCCCGCCGAGGGGTGGCCCTCGAGAGCCGGCCCCGGCCCCGGGGGGCTGGGACCATGGTGTTTCTCTCCGGAAATGCCTCCGACAGCTCCAACTGCACCCACCCGCCGCCACCGGTGAATATTTCCAAGGCCATTCTGCTCGGGGTGATCTTGGGGGGCCTCATCCTTTTCGGGGTGCTGGGGAACATCCTCGTGATCCTTTCCGTGGCCTGCCACCGGCACCTGCACTCGGTCACACACTACTACATCGTCAACCTGGCGGTGGCCGACCTTCTCCTCACTTCCACGGTGCTGCCCTTCTCCGCTATCTTCGAGATCTTGGGCTACTGGGCCTTCGGCAGGGTCTTCTGCAATGTCTGGGCGGCGGTGGACGTCCTGTGCTGCACGGCTTCCATCATGGGACTCTGCATCATCTCCATTGACCGCTACATCGGCGTGAGCTATCCTCTGCGCTACCCCACCATCGTCACCCAGAAGAGGGGCCTCATGGCCCTGCTCTGCGTCTGGGCGCTCTCTTTGGTCATCTCCATCGGGCCCCTCTTCGGCTGGAGGCAGCCGGCCCCGGAGGACGAGACCATCTGCCAGATCAACGAGGAGCCGGGCTACGTGCTCTTCTCGGCTCTGGGCTCCTTCTACGTGCCGCTGACCATCATCCTGGTCATGTACTGCCGGGTCTACGTGGTGGCCAAGAGGGAGAGCCGGGGCCTCAAGTCGGGCCTTAAGACCGACAAGTCAGACTCTGAGCAGGTGACCCTCCGCATCCATCGCAAAAACGCCCAGGTAAGAGGCAGCGGGGTGACCAGCGCCAAGAACAAGACGCACTTCTCCGTGAGACTGCTCAAATTTTCCCGCGAGAAGAAAGCGGCCAAAACGCTGGGCATCGTGGTCGGCTGCTTCGTCCTCTGCTGGCTGCCTTTTTTCTTGGTGATGCCTATTGGTAAGTCTTTACATCAGCTCTTCCCCTTCTGCTATCCTAGACTCACAGTCAAGGGTAGACGAGAAAGGATCTGCATTTCAAACGGCAAAGCTAGGAGGGCAGTTAGGAAAGACTTCCTGTAGAAAAGTAAATTTTCATTCCCTTTCTGCTCCAGTATCACTTATATTCGGTACTAGGGCACTTTTTCGACTCCTGCAAAGTGCTTTCCCATCGATGCAGATTAATTGGTCTTCCTAATAAGAACATCAGCTTCTGTTAATGCTTTTAAGCCTGTGTTTAACTTAAAAACATCCATCCTTGGATTTCAAGTCTCTGAGTCTCCTCCACCAGGCAATTAGGCGGGGGCAGTGGAATTTCACTTTCACCTCTGCTGCTGTGGACTGCAAATTCTCTTGGCCTAAAAATAAGACTGATGCTTATCCTGAACAAACTTGTGCAATTTGATTATTAGATTAGATTATTCCTAAGGGTTAGTGAAAATGGTCTGCTTATGTTCTATATCTGTGTTCATTTTGTTTTCTGGATTCTGTGTGGAAGAAACCGTAATGAGCTACTGGCAAGAAAAAAATATATCTCCAAAACAGTTTAACCTTTAAAGAATTCAATATACTGTTTCCAATAAGTAAATACATTCCCCTTTATTTTAATGCTAAGTATTAAAGTAAACAGTAATGTTACAGATCCAATTTTCACAAATGCTGAATGAGGTGTTGTCAAAACTAATTAGTTCATTATAAGTGTCAGCTAGCTGATGCACTTGGATTCATCATTTACCTCTGGTAGGCCTTCCTGACAACCCAGAATGGTTATTTACTATTTTTAGTTTGTGAGCTCCAATGTAGACCCACACACATTGGTTATCCACTAGCTCAAGCAAACAAAAAATTACAGTAAAAAGTCATAAAAGCCTTTCTGTACTTTAGAGTCAATTTACATGGCATGTACTGAAAGTCCTTTTATTGGCAACACTGTGTGTTCATTGCAGCTGTCATTTTTTGAGGGCTGACTATGTTTCAGACATTGACAATTTGATATCATTAGTCCTCTCAATAACTAAGTGAGGTATATGTTATTATCCCAAAATCATAAGTCAGGGGAAGGAATTCTTCAGGTTTTAAAGCTTTGCTGTCTACTATCATAACCACTAGCCCCATGTATCTATTGAATGTAAGTTAAAATTAAAGAAAATTAGTATTCAGTTGCTTAGTCCCACTGGACCATTTCAGGTGTTCGGTAGCCACATGTGGCCAGCAGCTACTGCTTTGAACAGCAGAGATATAGAGTATTTCCATCATTGCAGAAATTTCTACCCAACACAGCTGCTTGAGAGGCCCTTTCAAGTCCATTCCCTGGCCTTTCATCATTATTGCGTTCTCTGCTCCTAGAATGACATCACAGCTTTGATTGTATTTATACAACCTTCTTTTGGAGAAGGAAATGGCAACCCACTCCAGTGTTCTTGCCTGGAGAATCCCAGGGACGGGGGAGCCTGGTGAGCTGCCGTCTATGGGGTCACACAGAGCCGGACACGACTGAAGTGACTTGTCAGTAGCAGCATACAACCTTCTTTACCTGAACCACTGCTTCCTTACCTATCGTCTGCATNAGCATATGAAAAAAAGAGAGGAGTAGAGATAACTTCTGGGGTTTGGGCCCTAACAACTGGGTAAATAGTAGTATTTCCTGAGATTGGAGAAACTAAAGAATGATGGGGTGGTAAGGGGCTGGCAGGAATGCGAAGCACAAGTGCCTATTTTACACAGTCCATGCTGAGAAGTGTCTATTATATGTGGAAGTAGATATGTCAAGTAGGCAGTTACATGCATGTATTTGGAGCTAAGAGGGGAAGCTATTTATGTTTATCCAAGTTTATGATATAAACTTGGGACACATCAACATATTTCCACAGAAATGGAAGGATATGCAAGTGACAAAGTGTGGAGAGAAAAGAGAGATGAAGACTGAGCCTTGGATCCTGATATTTGAGGGTCAGGAAAAGGAAGAGAAATGATCAGCAGAAGAAACTGAGAAGGAGTAGCCAGGGAGGTGGAAGAAGGCGATGTCCCGGAAGCTGAATGGAGATGTTTCATGAAGGCGTCATCAGCTGTCAATGCAGTTGCTAGGCCAGGTCAGAGGAGGACTGGGACTCTACACTGGACTTGGCCTTGTAGAGGTCTTTGGTGATAGGAGGAAGTCCTGAAGGAAATGGCAACCCACTCCAGTATTCTTGCCTGGAGAATCCCATGGACAGAGAAGCCTGGCGGGCTACAGTCCATTGGGTTGCTAAGAGTCAGACACAACTGAGCAACTAACGCTTTCTTTGAGGACTGTAGTTTCAGTGGAGTGATGAAGACAAAAGCCTGATTGTGTACTTTTTTGAGAGACTGAAAGGTGAAGTGGAAGGGTTTTGCTAGACTGTAGGACAGGGAAAGGCAGTGTCACTGTTGGAGAAGGAAATGGCAACCCACTCCAGTGTTCTTGCCTGGAGAATCCCAGGGACGGGGGAGCCTGGTGAGCTGCCGTCTATGGGGTCGCACAGAGCCGGACACGACTGAAGTGACTTGTCAGTAGCAGCATACAACCTTCTTTACCTGAGCCACTGCTTCCTTACCTATTGTCTGCATCCCATTCATTCCTTCCTCCTGAAGTTTGAACATTTAGTTATGCATCTGTTCACCTGTCAAGTACTGTATTTATTAAGCCCTTGTTCTAGACCCTTAGGGTGAACAAGGCAGAAAAGTCCTTGTACTGAGATGTTTGCAATCTTTGGGGGGAAATAGACAAAAACAAACAAATATACCTTTAAAAGTCAAGGATTAACAAGCGCTATTTTAAAAATAAACAGGACAATAAGATAGAGACTGAGATGACAATGTGGTGAGTGGCATGGAAAGTCCTCTCTGAAGAGGTGATATTTGAGCAGAGACCTGACTGAAGTGAGGAGCAAGCTTTGCAAAGTCTGGGAGGAAGAATTTTCTGGGCAGAGGGAATAGCCAGTGCAGAGCTGGCAAGGAGCCTGGCCTATCTTTTAGGCCAAAGTAGAATTTGTGTATTATTCTAATTGTGATGGGAAGTCATCCAATCAGAGGGGCTTTAGCAGGTGAGTGGCTGGTCTTATATTTTGAAAGGATGGTTCTGGCTGCTGAGAGGAGTGAGTGCTGTTTCCCAGATAAGAGCTGAAACAGGGAGACCACTTAGGAGACTGTCGGAGACGTCAAGGGGGGACGGTGGGGAAGCCCTGTACTCAGGTAAGACAGGTGAGCACGCTTCAAAGTGATCCCAGTTCAGTTCAGTCACTCAGTCATGTCCAACTCTTCAATCCCATGAACTGCAGCATGCCAGGCCTCCCTGTCCATCACCAACTCCCAAACTCATGTCCATTGAGTCAGTGATGCCATCCAACCATCTCATCCTCTGTCGTCCCCTTCTCCTCCTGCCCTCAATCTTTCCCAGCATCAGGGTCTTTTCAAATGAGTCAGCTCTTTGCATCAGGTGGCCAAAGTATT